ACTACTGTATAGGTTTTATTGGGAAGGGAATCATTTAACACCAAATCAAATTATGGTCTCGAGAGCGGGCCCTAAGAACCTATTGTGTTTTGCGCCACTTTTCGCGGCGATGCCCGGTTCTGAACTGGAATACTTGGAAACGTTTTGTTTTTACCATGTTTTATGCTTGCTAGATTAATGACCAAGGTAAACCATTTTCGGAGGACGTTTTGGATGGAAATTTTTAGATGTTGTTTGAAAAGCCGCTTTTGCAGACCAAGATTCCATATACTGTTTGGTTGAAGCATAAAACAAAACAAAAACGATAAGAAACTATCCGAAAGGAAAGGAGCCCCTTGAATAATTCACTAGAGAACCCGCTTTCAGCGTTCTGAAAGCTGCTGGCTTCAGTTTATTTTAGTTCGTCCTCAGAATTAAGTTTTGACGACACGGCTAATTGGTTTCTGACGTTGTGATGTAGGTATTGCATGCCTAATTGTATTATTGGCTCTGGAAAGACACCGTCAATAAATATTCAGTGTCAACGGCAAACTGGAAAGTCAGTTCATTGTAAATTTAGTCAGTACACTCTCAGCGCGTTCTTTCCTTCTTTCCCATTCATTGTGTTTTTCCTCTTTTGTTCGATCAACCATTTCGGTTGGAGCCCTGTCCGCCACACCGGATTACTAATTCATATGCGTTCTTACATCCATCCTCCGTCTTCATGAATTTAGATAAGACTTTTTTTTTTCTAAGGAGGATAGGGCATTAAGCCCTCTTTTTTATTTACTAACATAGATCGGTGTTTATGGGTGGATCGTGTGCAAAAAGCGTGCGCTCGAGTGCAGGCCAAGGCAATATAAAGCATATACAGCCCAAAGCAGCCGATGAGTAAGCAGCCAAAGAGAAGGAATGGTTATAATCAATAATTCTATATTATTGTAATAAGGCATAATTAATTATAATAAGAAAGATTTACCAGGTGGCTTGTTGAAAATCGAACTTCGCTCCACGCGATCATCAGCCCAACGCTCACGCTCAATGCCACAATGTTTTTTTTTTTTTTTTTTATTTCCAGGTTACATATAATACACATATTGATAAAAACAAGGTGCCCCGAAAACTGCAACTTTCAGAAATTGCTTAACATGAAGGGGTTGAAAGCCTTTCAGCCAGGCTTGGCTGAAGGTCGTTGCAATGGTTAATTTAAAAGGTTTTGAGCGCGGCCAAATCGTCCAGAACTGGTAACCATTCCACATCAGTATTTATCTTTCTTGTGACATTCTCTTATTCATTTCATAGTTTGAATGAAGTACTCTCGGGGGTTGCGTGCGTCAACATCATCATGCCGCATCGCCATTCTGCTCTTCCATATGCCGTGGAGCCCCAGGAGCATGATTATGTCGTAGGGCACAGGTTCACGCTCTATTGTTAAGAACCGGATTCCTTGAGGTGACAGCGGGAGCTCTTTCTTTATGGTGCGCTGAAGTACGTCCCAGAAAAGAAGAGCATCCCAGCAGCCCAAAAAGACATGCTCAATGCTCTCCGGTTGTTAGCACAAATTACAATTTACCAACCAGTATGCCTTTTGCCTCCAGAAAAGTCTTTACTGGTAACGTTTCGCTGTGTAATTTAAAAAAGAAAGTTTTAACCGCCGCTGGTATCATGGCGTTCTTGACTCGCTGTAACACATCATCTCCCGAGGCCCCAGGGCCTATGGACCTATACGTTGGCATGGGCAACATCCTAGCCACAAGGTCACGCGTCTGATTTTCGCGTGATACACCAGACAAATAGTTCATAAAAAAACGAACAAACAGAAAACAGCAGGCAGATACAACTTTGCGCAAAAACCCGACAACGGTCCGCACCGTGCCCGGCGAACAAACAACAAACGTCAGGCAGCCTTGTCTGAATAACGGTTCGAAGAAATGGATCACGCCGGTCACGGATAAACATAAAGCGTGAGACGAGTTGTCGAACAAATACGTGGCACAGTTTGACACCGCCCGCTTTGGGCTTAAAAAAAAAAGGTCGGTACGGCGAGTTCGCTCCCATTGGGACGCCCGAATAAACACTGCAAATACACAGAGAATCCGAATGTTAATTCTCGAACACTGCAGCACTTGGAGGACACACCACAGTTTGGACAGAAGAAACACAATGCACAGTCGCTCTCGCGAAAATGGATAAATCTCTCAGTATTTACCTCTCGGCAGTGGCCTTAAGTTTAGCTATTTTTTCTCGCCAGTAATTTCTGGGCTCACGGTAATGATCCAGATGTACACCTAGGTACTTTGAAGGCGTCCGTGACCATTGAACATTCCCCAAAACAACTGGAGCAGCCGTCCACTCACCATGCCATAACCCCATGCACTTTGACCAATTCACCGCGCAGGCAGGGACCTCCCAAAACCTTTTGGCCAATTCAACAGCTTCTAACACACCATGAAGGTTCGAACAAAAAGTGGCAACATCGTCTGCGTATGCTAATATTTTAATATCACATTGCTGTAGTGTAAAGCCCCTAATATTTTGAGATTGAATGGCACAGCGGCTAAAGGGCTCTAAGTAGATTGCGAAAAGCAAAGGTGATAAGGGACATTACTTCCACACTGAAGAGCGGACATTAATCCACGCACGAACTGTTTTAATAATTACTAGTTTAGTTTTTCAGTTTACAGATGCCATCCTTACCCCCTGAAGCAGCAGAGATCCAATTCCCACGTGTTGTATCATGGAAAACGGAACATCGTGGCACACCCGATCACATGCTTTTTCAAGATCTATCTGAAGTATAGCTACTTTCCGATCTTACACGTCACAGACCTCTAGAACACTTCGAGTAGTGTGTATGTTAGTGCCAATGCTACGACCCTTTATCCCACAGGTTTGGTGCGGCCCTATTTACCATATAACATGCTGCAATCTACTAAAACCTTCATTAGCACTTTATAGTCAACGTTTGCCAGGATAATTGGTCTGTAATTACTAGAACTACGAAGCTTATCGGCGTCATTACACTTCGGTATCAACACCGTGTGCGTGCACAGGAAAGAAAGTGGTAATTCTTTCTTTTGATGGGACTGAGAAAAAACCCTATGCAGAACCGGTGCAATTCGCTGCTTAAACTTCTTATAGAAGGCCGTGCTCAAACCATCCGGTCCCGGTGACTTGCCTACGCTTAGGTCATCTATCGCTTTCTCGACCTCTGATAAACTTATCGGATCTTCTAAAAGCGTCGTACTATCGCTATCTAGCTTCGGCTAACTTGGCAAAAATTCCGTATCAAGCCCCTTATCTTTTGGTATTTTCTTTTCACACAAATGTGTATAATACTCAACAATAGCATGCTGAATACTGTCCTGATCTCGAGTTACTGCGCCTCTGTACTCTATTTGTTCAATCCGGTTCCCGATAGCATACTTTTTTTCCAACGCAAGTGCCCTCTTTGTGGGCGTTTCCCCGAAAATCAAGCTCGTCGCACGGGCACGAACGATTGCCCCTTTATATCTCTTTCATCTATTTTCTCAAGCTTAGCCTTGATAGTGCTTATGTCGTCTTTGAAGGCTCCTAGCGTTCTTTCCTCCTCTACATAAAGCCTTTGTAAATCCTTTCGAAGACCGTTCTCTACCCTTCGCTCTTCCCGCTTTATGTTAGTTGCTCTTTCAATCGCATCAATCTTAACCTGCTGTTTAAATAGTTCCCACACCTCACATATGTTATTTTCCGAAACGCCTTCTAGTCTGCCTAGCCTACTTTCGATTTTCCCTATTAATTCTTGGTCCTCGAGGAGCTTTCTGTTTAACTTCGACAGCTCCCACAAAAAGATAGTTGGTTTCTTACGCTGACGCAAGGTAAAACTCACCAAACTGTGATCGCTGAATGAGACATGACTGACCGCGAAGTCGTTACACTGGGGTACTAAATCCGCTGAAACATACTGTCACGAATGACAATTGACGAGGCGATGATAGCTGAAGAAACTAAACGTTTAATGGGGCGAACTTGTGCCCAAAACAAAAAGGGAACAGAAGAAAACAGCAGAGCGTCGTGGGCGTCGATGTCGGCGAAACCGCAGGATCGAGCGCTGGGGCGAGACTGACTCCGGCATGCCACGCGGAGCCCCTTTTGTACACGCGTCGGCTTCTGGAACATTCGGCCTGGAACGTTAGGCTCGTAGAACATTCGTAACTGGATCGGACGAGAAAGTTCTCGAACTTACGAGAACGCAGAAAGAATAAATAAAAGAAGATTCCGCTCCGTAGAATCGAAAGCGGATCCTTCGCGCGACAGTCATGCACGCTAACGCACGTGCGCGCTCGGCAACGCGCGTGGCAATATACCCTGTCAAGCCTGGCGTGACCTCTGCCTTGGTTGTGCGCGTAAAGGACCCGATGTACCGGCGTTGTGCAGGGTGCCAGGTCTTCGAGCCCCTCATCTTGAATCAACTTATTTAAAACTTCACTAGACCTATCACTATTTCGTCTTTGAATGGTCCGGTCTTCTGGCGTACAGACACAATTAAAGTCTCCCAGCAATATCATAAATCGGTCACTGATTACAAATCTGTCAATATCTTCAAAAAAATGTGCGTCGGTAACTCTCCAATTTGGCGCATAAATGCACATAACCCCACACTTTTGATTTAGGAAAACAAAATCGCGGAGAACAAGCCTTCCCGATTCACACGATAAAACGTTCTCTTCGATGAGCCCAGCAGCTCTCCTCAAGAACAGACAACATCCTCCAGATCTACCTACAGCATGGCTGACGCAGACATTGTGCCTCGACGTAAACGGTTTCACCAGGAACTCGGTGTGACTTTCACTCTCGACCTTCGTCTCCTGAACCGCCAAAACGTCTAGGTTCCTCTCTAGAAGTCGACTCAGCTGACACTTGTTACGTCTTTGCTGCCATCCGCTGTTCGGCTGCAGGCGCGACGCGATCATGACACGCTCCGGTGGTAGCCAGTATAAGAAACGCCCCATTTATTGCTTCGAACACAGATATATAGAGAACGCTACGACTGGTGACGTCAACAGGGAAACTGCTATCGGCTTGACAACAGCGGATAGACAGGATGTAAACAAAGACCAATGCAACATTTCTTCTTCTCTTAATATTGCAAACGATCGATCGGTTTCCGTGTCCGCGTTGAGCGTCGTAAGGCTGGTTGGTCTTGGCCGTCGGGGGCTGGCACGTCTTGCTCGCTCGGTGGCCCCTGGCTGTCCCGCTGTCCTAGTGTCACTGGCGGCCCGACGTTGTCCGAATCGTCTTTAGCGCCACCCAGACTTTCAGTCGGACCTTGTCTGCCGCGGACCTGGTCCATGTGACGACGGACTGTTCCCTCCGGAGTCTCGATGACCAGCATCCTTGACCCGAGCTTGTTCTGGACGGTCCCCGGTGACCATCTTTCACCTTGGCCGAAGTTGCGGACCCACACCGGTGTTCCGAGGTCCCAGGAGTCTCCTTGAACCTGCACATCGTCGGACAATAACGCAGGCCGGAACGGTACACTCATGTCCAGGCGCGAACGAATGCGGTACCCGAGAAGTATTTCCCCTGGGGACTTGCCACACGCTAAAGGCGTCCGACGATAATTGATCAGAAGCTGCGCCAGCCTTTTCCCCAAATCTCCCCCAGTTAACTTAGCGAGGCCGAACTTGATTGTTCTGACTGCCCGTTCAGCTAACCCTTTAGAGTGAGGATGATAGGGCGCACAGCGGAGGTGACACACATTGTTTCTTTTCACAAAGCCTTCGAAATGCTGACTAATGAACTCAGGTCCATTATCAGAAACGATTGTTCTGGGCAGACCGAATCTGCTGAACAGTTCTCGGAGTTGATTCACCGTCGCCTCTGCCGTTGTTGATCGCATGATGCAAGCTTCAATCCATTTGGAATGGGAATCGACGACTATTAGCAACATCCTTCCCTCAACTGGTCCTGCAAAATCGATGGGCACTCCCGACCATCTTTCTTTTGTTTCTGGCCAATTCACCGGTGAGCACGCGGGCGGCATTGGGGCGGCTTGTACGCAATCGTTACAATTTCCGCTCAGTTGTTCCACCTTCCCGTCCAGTCCCGGCCACTAAAACAACTACCGCGCATTTCTCTTCATGGCTGATATCCCCTGGTGAGATTCGTGCAGCAGCTTCAGGATGTCCGGGCGGGCCCGTGTGGGAATCACGAGGCGCCGGCCCCAGTAAAGTAACCCACGGCACGTAGACAGCTCGAGCTTCCGGGAAAAATAAGGCTGTACCCTGTACCTCCGTCTGGTTCTTCAGAAGGCTAGCAGGCCAGCCGTTCTGCACGTATACTTGATGACCTGTAACAACGTATCGTCGGTTTTCATCAAGTCTTCTAGCCGCTGCGCGGACATAAATGCTTCGTCTACGCGGTGCAACGTCAGCACGAATTCCGGGAGGTCCTCTTCCACTGGTGGCCCTTGCCGTGGAGGTGGCAATCGGCTCAGCGCGTCAGCATTTCCGTCTTGTTTTCTCGGTCGAAATTCTATTTTGTACCGAAAATCGCTGAGTAGCAGAGCCCACATTTGAATCCGTCCAGACGCCGATAGCGGGACAGGCCGGTCTTCTCGGAGCAGACCCACAAGTGGTTGATGGTCCGTGACTAATACGAATTGGCGTCCCAGTAAATAATCACGGAACTTGATTACGCCAAAGATCAACGCAAGTGCCTCCTTTTCTAGTTGCGAATGGTTTTTTTTCGGCGGAGGTCAATGTGCTTGACCGAAAAGCTATCGGTGTATCGACACCCCGGATCTTGTGCGATAGGACGGCGCTCAGTCCTGTTGGGGACGCGTCACATTCCAGTCGCAGTGGCTTCTCAGGGTAAAACAATGTCAGGACCGGTGATGTCAGCAAAGCGGCTTTGGCCTGTTTGGCGGCCTTGTCTTGCCTTGGTCCTCAATTCCACCTTTGATCCTTGCCGAGCAGCTCGTATAACGGTGCTAACAGGGTCGACATATTGGGCTAGAATCGGTAATAATACGTCAGAAGCCCAAGGAAGGAGCGAAGTTCGCTTACATTTGACGGCGTCGGTGCATCTCGGATGGCCTCCAAGTTTTTCTCGTTTGGATGTAGTCCTTCCTTGTCGGTCTGGCGCCCCAGGTAAGTGATGTTCGGCTTCCTAAATTGGCATTTTGATCGCCGAAGCTTGACACCCATGTCCCGGAAGCGTTGCAGCACCCTGCTCAGGTTGTCGGTTCCCGGTTGTTCCGCTACCAGGACGGCGTCCAGGTACACTTGCACACCCTCCAGGTGTGCGAGCATGCTCTCCATCTTCCTCTGAAAAATCGCCGGCGCGGAAGCAACTCCAAACGGAAGGCGATTGAAGCTGTAAAGGCCACGATAGGTGTTGATGACTGTTAATTCCTTCGACTCTTCATCCAAAGCCACCTGGCTGTAAGCATCCCTAAGGTCTAAGGTGCTAAATAAAGAACCGCCCGCAACGACTCAAACATATCAGCTATGTTAGGTAGTGGATACTGCTCTGTGTTGCACGCCATGTTCGCTGTCAACTTAAAATCGCCGCACAGGCGTATCGAGCCGTGCTTTTTCTGCATCGGTACAATCGGTGCTGCCCACTCCGAATGGCTAACAGGTGAGAGAACTCCGGCCTCTACCAACCGATCCAACTGCTCTGACACTTTGTCGCGAAGCGCTTATGGAACAGGTCTTGCCTTCATAAACTTCGGCACCGCTCCCTCCCTCAAATGAAAACGTACCGGTGGCCCCTTGATGGTTCCCAGTCCTGGCTCGAACAGGTCCTGAAACTGCAACAGCAGGTCTTCCAGCTCTCTCGTTGAGCCTGCAACCACGCTTGACACCAGAGGGTCCAGTGTGTTCAGTTTGCCGATTACGTCTCGACCACACAGGCTTGGTCCGGGGCAGTTCACAACCACGAGCGGAGCCGGCACCGTGACGTCATGGACGGTCGCCCGCATGTGTAGCTCCCCGAGGATGGGCAGCTGTCCCAAGTAGAATCGGAGACTCAGCTTGGTTGCCGACAGCGCCGGCCAATGGTCCTTGTGCTCATTGTACACTTTTCGGGGAATAACACAAACAGGAGAGCCCGTGTCGACTTCCATGGTCAGTCGTACTCCCCCCCAGGAAACCTGCCTTCGGAACGACGGTTCAAAACTTGCCCGTGTTCGAGGTTGCACCGTGTACACTGATGCCAAGTCCAGGTCCTCGCCCCCTGACGCCGTCGCAGCTGCAATCGTCGAGCTTGGTCGTCCTGCAGTTGCAACGTCATGATGCGCCCCACATTTCTTCGCGAAATGGCTTTGTCTGCCGCATCGGAAACATCTGGCGAATCTGTGCCGACACGCGTCCCGTGCATGTGAACTGCTTCCGCATCGCTCGCATTCTTCTTTTCTTGTATTGTACCTCCTTCCAAGGTCTGACTGTTTTCGGGACTTTCCGGCCATTCTGTGTAGCTCCGCTTCATTTTTCACATCCTGGCTTTCCATGTTCTTTACCTCCTTTGTGGCTACCTCTGCCGCGGTAGCCAAATCTTCTGCCTCTGCAAAAGTCAGGTCTCGCCTTGCCAGTAGTTGACGTTGGACTGTCTGGTTTCGCACACCGCAAACAATGCGATCCCGCAGCATGCGGTCCAAGCTGTCTCCGAAATTGCAATTTTCCGCGATTTTCCTTAGTTCCACGATGAAGTCTTGCACCGACTCGCCTTCCCGCTGTTGCCGATTTAAAAACTTGTAGCTTTCAGCTATTTCGTTAGGCTTGGGCGCGTAGTGTCGACCCAGGATGCCGACAACATCCTTGTACGTCAGTTCGTTGACCCTTCGAGGCGCGCATATTCCGCACAGTATTCCAATCGGCCTGGAGCCGAGCGCGGCTACCAACAGTGCGCGCTTTCTCTTATCTTCGGCAATAGCATTCCCTTCAAAGTAGGCTTCAACTCGAACAACATAAGTTTCCCACTTATTTTCTGCGTCGTGGATGAAGGGAACTTGAAACGCCGTGGCCGCAGTTGCCATTCTTGGGCTGTCCTTGCTTGTGCCCGTTGCGTGAGTTCAGCTCGTCGCCACTGTTACGTCTTTGCTGCCATCCGCCGCTCGACCAGACGCGACGCGATTATGACACGCTCCGGTGGTAGCCAGTATGGGAAACGCCCCATTTATTGCTTCGAACCCAGATATATAGAGAACGCCACGACTGGTGACGTCAACAGGGAAAGTGCTATCGGCTTGATAACAGCGGATAGACAGCATGTAAAGAATGACATTGCAACAACACTGTCGGCGGCGTGCCGCAAGTCCCCTGACGTTAGGGAGCTTTCGTAGATCGTTTTCGCCGTCCCGCAACGATCTCCGCAACGCGCTACGATACCGGGAACTCTACAGCCAAGGCTATCGGCGCGCAGGCGCAGTAGCGACTTCTTCGTTGCGGAGGGCTTAGCGGAGGGGGAAACGCGATCTACGAAAACTCCCTAATAAGGGTCCCTATGCGCAGACCAGACGTTAGTTGTGCCGTTTTCTATTGCGTCAAACCCAGGTTCCGGCGATTACCCTTCGCGTCATATCGTACCAGGATCGCTACTCACTGCGACAGATCCCCGTCGCGGGTCAGCGACGAGGACCGCAGTTTGCTGACGTAACGACCTTTTTTCCAATCAGCTGAAACTCCCCCTCAGACCACTGCTGTACCGGTGCGACGTATTTCGGAGACTCGTCGGCCAGTCGCCGTTTCACCTTTGAGGGATCCAGGGGGGCTATGTTCGACAAATGTTTTGTTTCTCCTAAAAAGAAACGAAAGTGACGGAGGTGACGACACCACGTCTGATTGGCTAGAGGCTCAAATGACGAAAGAGGGAAGTTCCGTCATTTGACCCTCTAACCAATCAGACGCGATATCGTCAGTTCCGTCACTTTCGTTTCTTTTTAGGAGAAACGAAACATTTGTCGAACATAGCCCCCCAGTTCCATGGCTGGCTCACACTCGATGGCTGCTGCCTCGGTGCCGGTGCTTCCCATCGCCACTGCCTCCGGTGAAGGTTTTCCAGGCGCTGTCGCCTGCCCATCTTTTTCGTTGACTTCAGGAGCCGTCTCCGTGCGCTTCTCGTCCTGAACTGTCGCCTCCGCCCTCTTGTTGTCATGCCCTTCGACTGTCGCCTTGTCCTGCTGTGCCGTTTCAAACGGTGTCGACGATGTTGCGGCCTCCTCTGCTTCCGCCTCATCCATGATGAGGTCGCATCCCTCTTCGCTCGCTCGGCTGACTACAGCACTCGTATACGTGCGTGCAGTCTTGGGCCACATGGCCGAAGCCACGGCATTGCCCGCACCGAGGTACACGGCAATCGCGTCGCATATGTCCTTGCCTTCGGCACCGCAGGCATAGCGGTGCCCGCCCGGGTACGACAACGAGGATCGCACTCTCAAGAAAAAGGGGTATAAAATGGTGTATCGTTACACCCTTTGTCTCATATAATACACCCCAAAACTTCAATTCGACGTACAGCGCCCTACAGTCGAACAGACGGCCCGACATTTTACGAGGGGCTTGATAGCCGTGTGCTACAACTTATTAAAATAGCTAATGTACGTTTTACTGACTACAAAAAAACATAATCGGGGTTTTCTTGGCCCTACTGCAAAAACTCAGTGCTTTCTTTCTGTTGTCTTTGATACGTACTTTAGCTACTTATCCGTTATCAAGCCCGTCGTTATCAAGCCCGTCGTAAAATTCGGGGCCGTCTGTTCCGACTAGAGGGCGCTGTACGTCGAAAGGAAGTTGTGGGGTGTCTTATATGGGACAAAGGGTGTAACGATACACCTTTTTACACCCTTTTTTCTTGAGAGTGGGTGCCCCCTCGAAGCCTTAGCTGATGAGGTAGGTCTCGCCTTACTTGAGTGTCAGCTTAGCGATTCTGGTGGTCGACTCGATGTCTTTGAAGCCTTCCACTCGCCACTTCTCTTTGGTCACCCTGTGCCGTACTCTTCCAGTGCCTTCCGGAGAGTGTCGTTGGATACGTCGAGCGGGACCCAATGTGACTTGGCCCGAACTTCCTGCCGGTTGGGGTCTACGGGGACGCACAGCTTTCCCTTCACCGTGAGCCGGCCAAACTAGCAGTCGTTCTTTCGCTGCCGCACTTTTTAGGCTACAGAGCCACACGTGTCCCATTTGGCACACACCTAGCCCTGCTACATCTTTACGAAGGTCCGTTTTTTCCAAAGGCTCCTTGAAGTCGACGATCCTCATAGGCCTGGCGTTTACATCGCAGTGAAGGTAGACTTGGTGCTTTCCCTTGTCCGCAGTCGGCAACGTCGGCAGCACAATCCGATAGTCGGCAGGGATGCAAAAAGGCCTGTCACCACGGCCGGCGTCGGCTGTTATCACCTCGCTATTGGGAAGGAGATCGAATAGTCACGCCTCTAGCGGCACGCTTCAGTTGTGGGGACAACAAACGGTATTTTCTTGTTTGTTTTCGATCAGCGATATCGAAGATGACGATTCAAAGGCCGCTCCTCGTGCGACCAAAGCACTGGTCAGAGCGAAGCGCTCGTGTCCAGGCCGTGCATGACGAGGTTCAATTTCTTTGTTATGCTATGTTAGTAAACATCGGCCTGTGGGGACAACAACCTCGATAAAGCGCCCCCTATAGTTTGATCTCCTGCCCAATAAGAGCGAGCCATCGCGCGTCCGCACTTTTCGATTGCCGAGCACTATCGTCAGGCCACGAGCGCGCTGCCTACTTAGGCTATGTTCCAAATCTTACCCGAGTAACCTGCCTCCTACGTCAGCGGGTAATACCACGTGACATCGCGAGTAAACGATCCGCGACTCGATTTTGGAACGGCCAGGATAATCACCTGGATACTACACGGATTGGCTTCGTCTTGGGCAACGGCAAAAAGAAAACACAGCAGCGATGGCAGAAAATAGCAGATGATCCTTTTGATCATAAAGAAAGGCACCCGAAGAACGGTAATATTAATGACGATGCCGTGTTTTTTTAGGTGGATCCACCAGATCCTTTTACTCACCTTCGTTTTGAGCTGTATATTGATATAAAAATTACTTACTCCTTACAGCTAGACATAAAAAAATGTGTTTTTATTAATCAGCGCGATCGCTGCAATTCTAGTCACGGTGCCCTAAACGCATATATTCCACGCATTGTAATTTGCACCGATTATGTTTTGCAGAAATATATTCCGCACGGTGTAGCGGTACAGCGCGAGGGTGCTTTCTCCAGAATGATATGAAACTGACGTTCGCTTGGACGCGAATGTGATTACAGTGAAATTTTTGAAGCCTTCACTGCTTTACAAACGTTATCCTCTCATTACACACACTCTGGAGGAAACAAAAATGCTACATTATCATATACTGAGTTTAAACATTTTCGGCCTTGAACGTGAGAATACGGCATTCCCCCAACGCCGAGGACGAGGATGCGGAGAAGCTCCTGTTTACGCTCGCACTCGGATGATAACAATTATACCTTCCCGGGTAAGGTGGACGGTCTGGATGTAATGCAGTCAGTTCCTGCGTTGAAAACAGCAAATCGCAATAACCACACATGCTGCAGCTAATTCTTCGTCATTTCAAACGTCCGCCACCAAAACCAACGGAGCAAGAGAGCTTTGGCGGCTGTCGGCGCAGAAAGCAGACGACGAACAGATCACGTGACGTATTTACTCGATTTGATCCGACTTTACCCCCCGATCGAGGAGGGTAGCGCGAGTAATTACTCCGGAGTAAACAACCCGCTTCTGGAACGCGAGTTCTGACGTCATCGAGTAAGCTCGAGTAAGTTTTGGAACGCCACGGTACGAAACTTTTACTCCGGAGTCGGACCGAGTAAATTTTGGAACACAGCCTATGTCAGCTGTGCTCGCGGCAATATTCCCACAAGCATCACCATCGTAATTTATACTGACTAAATTTACAAAATGGTCGTTAAACATATCAACTAAAGCATTTTTTTCTTCGCCGTTTATATTTTAGGCGTTCACTGTTTCGACTCGTGAATTCCCCTTTTTTTTCAAGTGCCCTCAACATATTGTTCTACTGGTTCGTACACCGTCACCAGCGGCCAAATTGTAAGCGTAACGAAGTATTAGCGACGTGCGCGACCCCAAACGTCCCGGTGGTCGCCAATCCCGATTGGCCAAAGGCTCACATGACGCCCATAGCTTGATTCGTGTCTTTTTCATCGGCAGAAATTACCGCTCCGACAGAGTGTCAACTTTGACGATGTTGGTTATTGAGAATCAAGCTGTCGTTGCTGTTTTCAGAGCGCAGCTCTTAGGCGCCCGTTTCCGGGTTGAGCGGCGTCGGCGTCGGCGTAACCGGTCGTTGCACTATAGGACATTTTTCATAATACCATCACAAGTGACGTCGCGTGTGACGTCACGAGGGTAAAATTCCCCGCTAAATTTTGCGGGAAAATTTTTCGGTAAATTTGGCACGAAGTTTTTTTGCTAAGTTTAGCGGGACGTTTCCCATAATAACGTCACACGTGAAGTGACGCGTGACGTCACGAGGGTAAAGTTTTCCAGCGAAATCTGCTAAAAGATGTTTCGTTAAATTTCGCGGGAAACTTTTTCCGCTAAATTTAGCGGAAAAATTTCCACGCTAAATTTGATCGGCGCTCATGCTGCGAACACATCCTGCGTGCGGGTTTACCGGGGGGTGGGGGGGGGGGGGAGGTAAACTCCGGACAATACATTAGCGCGTCGCCTCCAGAGCAGTCGCTGCTTCGTCTGTAATTTTTTCTTTTGCATATTCTGAAATGCTGTCTGGGCTCCCGATATATATATATATATATACACATATACGCACCAATAACTTTTACAGTCGGGGAAATCGCTCGAAGAACGTTTCAGTTTTCGAGCGATTTGAAACGGCAGATTTGCAATGTTTCTATCGCACAGCTTGGTTCTTCTAGGAAACAAAATCAAGAACACACACACAAAAAAAAAAAAAAACGAGAGGCACGCGACGGAAGGCGTATAAGAAGAAAGTACGGAAGATATGGCTGGGTGCTTTCTTTTTAATTTGACATGAAACTTCTGGAAGCGACATGCACGAAATTCGGTTGCCTCTTTCTTTTCGATTCTTTGTGAAAAAAGAACTGCTCACAGTAAGTCCTTTCAACTGTACATGTAGCTTCGTCATGTTTGCTTATTTTGTCTGAATTCCGGCAAGCTGCAGGTTAAGAAGACGCCCTCGAATTTAATCCTATGTTTCTCCTTACTGCGAAGCAACAAAGTTTAAAACCACGTGGCCAAAATTTCCTGCGAGCGAATTACAAATTTAATTTTAATCTCTTAATCTCTATGAATTTGTGTTTTGTTTTACGAGGATGACTCGCAGTTACTCCAGTTACGAGCTGTATAATTCTTTTTCAATGTATCGATAAGTTTTACCACCAGCAAACACTTTATTATTGTGTTAGCATTAGTATACCAACATGACAGGGAAAAGCTGACGGCGCCCGACTGCTAACAAAACAATGGAAAGGGAAGCGCGGCGCGTAGAGAGAAGGAAAGTAGTGAAAGACAAAGGCGAGAGGCAGCCGACGTCACGGTGCGGAAGCGCCAGCTCGGAGCACGTGGAGCGAAAGCTCGCGCTGCAGAACCCAGGATCCTGGGTTCAATCCCCACCCCTGCCCGTTTCGATCTGGATGAGCATCGTACTGGCGTGCGGTCGTGTATCACTGCTGCGTGGTGCACGTTAAAGACCCCAGGCTAGCGGTCGTACTGCACTGGCTAAATTGCTCATCTACAGTGGGTAGCAATGGCGACATGTTCTGGCAGACTAAACTCCTGCTGTATAAAGAACTTCCGAGTAATTTCTTTTTGTTGCGTTCTATCCTATCCGCCATGGTCAAATTCTCACGGATTTTCAGCTTTCTGCGTTGCGTAGTTTATTTACGCAAGTCGAAAAACAAGCTTTTCTTTTTCCACCAACGCCTGTATACTTCTAAGGTTATTTATCCAGCGCTATAATTATCAAATTATATGCTTATATTTTCCCCCTAGAAGTCTCGACTTACTGAAATAAGTGATTTCTAATGCAATTAAATCGCATTAGGAATTACTGCCGGAACAATGTAAAGTGGCAATCTCAAGAAAACGAATTTCAATTCATACGTAACGCATGACTTGAAATTCACGAATTGCCTGCCATATCAGCATCGCCCTGCCGAATTTTCCTTAACTCAGCAAGCGCG